GCAGTTTCTGTTTGTACTACCAGTGCTGCTGCTGGAGACGTAGTTGCTGCTTCTGTTGCTGCAGCAGCTGTGGCAGCAGGGGGCGGAGCAGGGTTACAAAGAGCGTTTCATGTATCAAACAAAAACTACAAGTTGAGGCCCCTCTTCAGGGCTTCCACGGGGGGCCCCCCTCGTATCTTTGTGGGGGCCCCCTGTGGGGGGCCCCCTGTGTGGGGGCCCCAGTACTAAAGCCCCTATGGCGGGGAACCCTCTCAGGGGGCCCCTGATGGGGGGGCCTCTGCCTGAAAGGTGTATCAAGGGGCCCCTTTGGAGGCCATAAGAGCTATGGGGGCCCCTTGGGGGCCCCCCTACAAAAGCTTCTTTGTTAAACCCTGCGCGGGACCCTAAAGGCAGTCCCGCGGGGGCCCCCCTACACAATTGGTGCTGCAGGGGCCCCCAAGAAAGGGCCTCCAAGGAGGCCCAGCTAGACGGTGTGCTGCATGCAGGTCGTGCGGGGGCCCCTGTTGGGGGCCCCTCAGAGTACCCTGTTGGGGGGCCCCTCGAGGGGCACGCCTGGGGGCCCCCTGCAGCACAATGTTTGCTACGGGTTGGAGACATCAGCAGCAGCGAGGCTCCCTGAAACCCAAGAGGGCCCCTCGGAGCTGCTGATGCCGGGGGGCCCCTCGGGGCCCCTAAGGCTTTCTCTGCTGCAGCTTCTATCCGCTCCTGATATATTTCTTCTGGGTTTCGCAGCGACGCAGTGTACGTCCACCACACCGCTGCTGTTGCTGTTCCTGCTGCTGCTGGTCTTGTTGCTGTTGCTGTTGCTGCTACTGCTATTGTTATTGCTGCTGCTGCTGCTGCTGCTGCTGCTGCTATCCGTGCTGCTGCTGTTGCTATCGGTGCTGCTGCTGCTGCTATCGGTGCTGCTGCTGCTGCTATCTGTGCTGCTGCTGCTGCTACCAGTGCTGCTGCTGCTGCTACCAGCGCTGCTGCTGCTGCCACCGGTGCTGCTGCTGCTGCTATCTCCAGGAGGTTCAACGTCTGCTGCAGGCAGCACGGAAGCATCAGCGGCTCCCCCTGGGCTCCTAGCCTCAGCAATTTCGCTACTACTGCTGCTGCTGCTGCTGCTGCTGCTGCTGCTGCTACTGTTGCAGCTGCTGCTGCTGCAGCTGCTGCAGTTGCTGCGGGAGCAATCGTTACCGCAGTTGCTGCAGTTGCTGCTTGGGGAGTCCGTATTTGTGGGGCTGGGTTCTGCTGCTTCTGAGCTGCTGCTGCTGCTGTTGCTGCTGTTGCTGCTGTTGCTGCTGTTGCTTCTGCTGCTGCCTGCATTCTCTTCTAGCAAAGCACCCGCCATAAACCCCAGAGCAGCACAGAGACCACGAAAGGCTTTGTATCGAGGATCAGCAGCACGCTGCCGCACTCTTAGATAGTAGGGTGCGCGTTTGCTGCTAGCAGCAGCAGCACGCGATGCTTCACCTGCTGCTGCTGCTGCAGCAGGAGATGCTTCACTTGCTGCTGCAGCAGGCGATGCTTCACTTGCTGCTGCAGCAGGCGATGCTTCTGCTGCTGCTGCTGCTGCTCGAGTACCAGGGGGACATGAATTTGCTGTCCGGCCGCGGGCGTGCTGCTGGGATGTGCGGGAATGGTGCTTCCGTTGCGGATGCGTCTGCTGCTTCTGCTGCTGCTGCTGCTGCTGCTGCTGCTGCTGCGGCGGCAGCGGCGGCGGCGGTGGCGGGGGCGGCGGTGGCGGGGGCGGCGGCGGCGGCGGCGGCGGCGGCGGTGGCGGCGGATACTTATACTGCAGCAGCTGCTGCTGCTGTTTCTGTTGCTTCTGTTGCTGCAGGTATGGATGCTCTTGTGGATGCTTCGGCGGTTGCTTCGGATGCTTCTGCTGCTGCTGCTGCGGCTGCTGCTGCTTCTGCTGCTGCTGCTGCTTCTGCTGCTGCTGCTGCTGCTGCTGCTTCTGCTGCGGCGGCTGCTTCTGCTGCGGCGGCTGCTTCTGCTGTGGCGGCTGCTTCTGCTGCGGCGGCTGCTTCTGCTGCGGCGGCTGCTTCTGCTGCGGCGGCTGCTTCTGCTGCTGCTTCTGCTGCTGCTTCTGCTGTTGCGGCTGCTGCTGCTTCTGCTGCTTCCCGGTAGGCTTCATATTGGCCCGCCGTGTGCTTTGCCTGGCTGAGCCACGGCAGTGCTGCTGCTGCTGCTGCTGCTGCTGCTGCTGCTGC